GTAACATAATCAAATCAAAAGCAATTTTCTGGACATTATAGCTTGGACTGATAGTAAAATGCTTGATATTCACCAGTCTACATGCAGTTTGCTCATTTACCTTTCATAACTAAAGTATGCCTGTTTAGGAAGGGCGGACAGACCTAAATTATGATCCCTGCTTATTTGAATTTTGATCAACTGATAAAAAAAAAAAATCAAAGAAAATCACAGAACAAAAAATAAAAATATTGAATGAGAATAGAATTAGCTAATTTGTTTGTGAGGCAGTCAGTTATCTGTGTTTTAATTTTTTGTTTTTTTTGAAGCAGTTATCAAATAATTTACTGATTTCCCTGTCAATATTTTAGAATCTTTTAAAAACTTGTAGCCAGTCAGACTAGTTTCTGTAATAAATAATTTTTCTTCATTTTAGAAATATTCCAATGAACTACAAGATTCTATTTCTGCAAGGTGGTGGCACGGGATTGATGGCCGCTGTAGCTCTGAATCTTATGAATCGTAGTGAATCCAAATGTGCCGACTACGTTGTGACCGGAACATGGTCAGCAAAGGCTGCAAAAGAAGCGGAAAAATATGGATCAGTGAACCGGGTCCTTCCTAAAACCAGCAAATACAGAAGTAAGTTGAAATTAGTAATACCAATGTTTTTTGGGTAGGAAGGAATTTTAAACATGTGAATTTTTTTTTTTTTTTTTTTAGCCAATGATACTTTGTAGTTTAGTTCATTTAAGAGTTGTGCATACCTGATCAGTTTGAAGCAGTTAAAATGATGACTCTTTAGGTAATCATGCTATGAAGTAAAGCCACATGCAAAAAAATAGCTGTATTGTCGTTTATAGAGAAAAGTGCAAAATGTCACACTCCCCAATACATTTGAAAATTGTACAAGTGAATGTAACAAGTTATTTTGGTGCTGTTTTTAGGAGAAGTGTCAATAAAAATAAACACCTTTGTTAAAAAGTTAACTTACTTTCAGTCTGAAATAAATTCTCTCACAAAAACAAATATTTACTTGGTGAAGACTACTTTGTTGATTTCTAGTCGTGTACAAAGTTGCTTCATATATATTGTATACTAGACTTGGCACGTCATCCATCAGTCTTTTGTTATTTTGATTATTAAATGATCAGAAAACTGACATTATTAAATTGACAATTTGTTGATGTGAAATCAATGTAAAGATAAATAAACCCTTTGCATAATGAACTGTAAGTAAGCTTCTGCATTGATGCACATTTCCAATTTATTCAGAAAGTAAATTTTCAATGAAATATTAATGATGACGTAGATATATAATTGGATGTCAACATTACAATAACGCATTTTCATTTCTATGCAAATCAGCAGTACGGTTTCTGCTGACATATGTTATTGAGTATTGATGAAAACAAAGTCAATAATGCTGCGTACCAGTAATTTAATAGAATTACCTTTTTCATATTTCTTGGCAACTGCAAAAATTGAGCTGCATACGATGAATACAGTACTATCGCGTTAACATATTAGTATGTGTCCAGGAATTTTAATGTTTTTTAAAAACATATATTTGCATAAAATGTACACAAAATCGTCTTGATACATCAAATAACGATGTGTTTTGTTGCATGCGTGCATCAGAACTGTGTTTAACGTCTGTCATTATCCTAAACTGTCACAAATCGTTGTGTGTGGATGTTATGTTTATTGTTTGGTGTACATCGGTGTATTTGCGGTGTATTTGCGTGTCAAGGGACCAAAGAGAAAAAAGATTATGCTTCTCGTTCCAGACAAAATTGAAAAATGCACTACCCTGACAGTTTATTTTTTTTTTATATATAACCTTTTCACCACTAGTTTCATTTTTGCATCACAAATCTGTGCATTCCCTCATAATTTGGGACAAATATAGCCGCATTTTTTGACTAAAAACTGAAAATTGACTCAAATTTTGTCTGTTGGCTCCAAAATTAGGGTTCATTTTTAGAAATACTAAAGAATATAAGAAAAAAAGTGCAGTAAAATTTGGGTGAGAAAGTCTGGTTGTGAATAATTTAGTATTTATTTCCACCAGTGACACAAAATGCATATTTGGATCAATAAAACATCCTTTAAAACAGAAAACACAAATTTCTCCATTCTTTATTTATATACTGGTGGGTATTCTATTTCTGTTGTCTATATTAATAGATTGTTCTGATGTTCAAAACAAATGATGAAAATAACCCATTGTAAATATCACTCAATGCCACATTGAAGATGTTTTAAAAATCGCCCAAAAGATGATAAAACAATGTGACTGTAAAGATATAATAGTTTTCCCTATGCTATCAATAAAACGTGTTGTGGCATGAAAATATCCTGCGCTTTCACTTCAAACCCATGCATAATACTGTATTGATCAACCTAAGCTAAATGGATGC